GGAAACTAAAGCATTTCAACATCTTGCACAGTATTAAAAGTATTGAAGTTTTGCAGATTTTAATTTTACAAATCTTAACAAAACCACAAAAACATGATGTATTTTATTTTTATAGATTTGCCCAAAAACCAGTTCCACAAATTTAATTTTTACAAATCAAGGCATTCCACCATCTTGTACAGTATACCGTATTTCCTCGAGTAAAAGCCGCGGCATCTATTTCATTTTTCTATCTATAGGAGGGAGGCGACTATACGAGGGCGGCCATTGTTTGGGGGTGACAATTATTAATTATCATTAAAATCAATTATTAATTTTATCTAAAATATTCTTTTTAAACAAAATTTGAAATAATTAATAATTTAATCTTCATCGTGTCAATTACTACTTCCAGTTCCAGGTCTGGAAAAAGATCACTCTCATGTTCTACCTCAGGCTGCAGGAGTTTAGATGTTCCCCAGTGTCTTTGCATTATGAGCTATTTCTTCTTCCCAGGGTGTTCTCACGAGTTGCATCATATTTCTTGCTTTGTGGGGTCAAATAGAAGCTCATGTTAATGAGAAAAGGGAATTTGGAAGGTCCTAGAAGTACCATGTATCTATACCTTTCCTGGAAAGAAAAAACTCATCGATAGGATGAAGGAACTACTCGACTAAGACTCAACTGTGACTAGACGGCCATTTTACTAATTAATTAATTGCTAGTTATTAATAATAATAACAATAAATAACATTACATGCGGCATCTATTTGAAGGTGGCGGTAATTTCCTTCACTACTTTGGCCCCGCGAGGCATCTATTTGAGGGAGGTGGCTACTCGGGGGCGGCTTTTACTCGAGGAAATACGGTATTACTGTAGAATCTTAACAAAACCACAAAAGCAGTGTTTGTTAAGTCCCTCATTAGTTTCCAGCTACATACAGTATCATAAACTACCTCTATTTTAAACAATAAACTACTAACAATAATAACTATAACATATACATGTACATGTACTGGATATATCTTACAGTATAAGAGAGTAGATTAGCTCCATAGTCCTTGAGTGTCAGTAGTGTATTATCATTAATACTCTCAGACTGAGGGATACACTGAGACTGTACAGTAGATGATAATAGTCTAGTCTCCTCTACTGATCCTTTATGAACCAGACAATGTTTTAAACTAGTGATAGTATAGGCTCTATCACCAACTGAGATATACTGAGAATAATGGAATAAAGGTGGGGCCTATGAATAATAATATTAATAATAATAATAATAATAATAATAATAATAATAATAACAATAATAATAAAGAATAATAATAATAATAATAATAATCATATTAATTACGGTTATAATTATTGATAGTAATCTCTCGTTCTCTTTCATTGAGATAAAGTACATCATGTCACCATGGCAACCGTTCCTCTTGACTGGACTAACAGATACAACAATACCAGTGACTGTAACCAAACTGTAAACAACAACAATAAACAAAAAACAACAACAAATAAATAAATAATAATAATTGGTCTTACTTTTGTCTATTATTATTATTATTATCAGTGATGTTTGTCTCCTCCTCCTCCTTATTAATAAATAATGTTGAATACTTTAACACTTCAAGATAGAAACCATCTAATAAATAAATAAAATAATAAATTAATAATAAATATTCAAGATGCTATACAGGTAATTCTGGAATGGGGAAATTATGGTATTTTGATAGCCATTTATTAAACACAGTCCTTTGAACCATTATGTACATGCTCAATGGCACATGGCCCGACACAAATTTGCCAAATTAAAACCAGTTAATCACCAAAAATTAATCCAAAATCGCCCGGTCCAATATTAGGAGGTGTAGGTTATAAAGTACAATACTTACTTGATACATCAGTACAGTCTATTCTGTTGTATTGTATTATATTAATATATGAATTAATGAGAGGAGGTGTTCCTATAAACTATACAGGGACTATTAATAACAATATATACGGTATGTATACCACTGACCTTACTCAATACTGTAACGTTATCAAACTCTACTAACAGGTTCCCTTTACTGTCCCAGAGAACTTTACAAGTTACTCCTTTGGACGCCATTTTATTACAAACCACACCCATGGCCACACCTCTAATTATACTCTTTAGATCCAAATAGTATTAAACAGTAAATGCACTTATTTTGCTAGAGTATATAGCCTGCAGTTATGCACCCACACCTTGCTGATGCCTCTGTCAGAGAAAGAGCCATCTAATTCTGTTAAGGTGGTTTTGTTCATTTTCATGCAAAAGAATGAGTGGGTGAGAGATAGGGTTAGCTAGCACAGCATGCCCAACAATTATCTGCATACTTTATTGAATTAAGAGCATTAAATTTAGTAAATAAACCAAGCAAAACATACACACTATCAAAAATAAAACTAAAACACTTGTATAAAATTTTGTATTAATAAAAGTTTTACTTCATTTTAAGCTTGTATTTTTCCATTAGTTTATTAGCAACTGCAATAGTATTTCTCGTATTTTCTTTTCTCAGTATATCTATGAATATACCAAATACTTCTCCATCCAATTCAATGGAGCTTGAAATGATCTGAAGCAATTCATCTATTCTTTCACCCTCAGTTTTTCCACAGTAGCCATCAGTGACTTCCTTTTTCTTTCTTGCATTTATTATTTTGTGCTCCAGTAATTTGTCAATCAAGAAGTTAAGATCAATCCCACATCCTTTAATTAGCAAAGCGTTCTCTGTCATCACTTCATGAGCTTGGTCAGGATTGTATGTGACACCTATACACATGTACATGTATTGATGCAATTAATTATTGTGTGTATGATAGTATAATACCTTCTTCAGTCTTTCTCCTAGTTTGGCTAGTGCTAGCAGTAGAGGAGCCTGAGCTAGTAGTGACTATAACAAAATATAATCAATTACTACATTATTATAACTAAAATGTGAAGTAAAAGCCACTGGTGGAAGAGTGGATCTATACATCCTTTACTTAGCACATGCTTCATTACAGTTTTATGATAAAATTATGAGTAACATTTTTGATAATAGTTTGCAAGACCTTTTTACATAATAACTACATACATGTGCTATTATGAATACACTGGATACTACATGTATATAGCTACAAAATATTCTTTCTAAAAGACTTGCATGGCCAGGCTCTCCACTCCTTTTGACATAAAAAGGCATATACGGTCTGGCTGCACAAGACTAATCATCTAATGGTAAATTTTGAAGTGTGATTGTTCAATTGAATTGACTCAATTCAACAATCACTGTCAGTTTTCATGAAACATTATACTCCTCCAATAGTCAATTCCTTATCATTGTGCATCATAATAACAGTAGTAATGCAATAATAACTGTTACTATAATGTACATTGTTTACCAATACATCATGTACTGTACATGCATGATAAAATTACTATGAGTTATCAGGAGCCCTGGAACTATTAACAAACTTTGCAATTTTAAATTACACCAAATTTATAATTTAAACAATCATATTTTACGAGTTATGCTCTTGAACAGAACTATGCATGCATAATATACATATCACATAACTGATCATAGCATAATCGTTACATGCTCAAGCTTAGTGAGACTAGCTCAAGCTACTGAATAAACACACACACACACGCATCAAGTGTACATACAATCAGTGATATTAACTTACTCTCTTGATCTAACTTGACAGCTGCAGCATTCTCATTCATAAATTTAAGAGCATCTGACAGTGAGTCAAAGGTAGCTCCTCCTTTAGTGTCAACATTATCAGCTCTGGACAACCACTTGGAGAGAGTCTCTGTCAAGCAGCGAGCTACATCACCAGGGTGATTCTTTCCAATGGCGTCCAGTGTGTTCTTGTGTAGTCCTAGTCTCAGTCCCAGCTCATGCCATCTTGTCTGAGGGAAACCACATCTCTTTAACAGATCAAGTACATCAATAAGTTGATCTATAAAACATAATATATAAATATACTACAGACTACAGTTAATGGATTATTACTAATAGTCAATGGAGAAGTGAAGAGAGAAGGAGAGCTGCTCTTTGTAGCCATTTACAAATGGAGGAAATAGGCGTGGTTAATAGACTAAAATTAATATATAGGTATTGTTTTAATTTTGCCAGTTCAGTAATAAAGGTACATGTAGTATTAGCTAGGTGACTTTTAAGCTAAATATTTATTCTGATCACATAAATAATTAAATAGCAATGGTTTTAAACTGGAAGGTGGCAGCGTGAATGGTAGCATCTCTCCTACCCTTGCCAGGCACTTATTCATATACATCAGTAGATGAGGTGGTGGCTTGAGGGCAGAGTGGGTAAATGGCAAAACTGTATTGATACATCAATACAGTTTATTCTGCTGTATTGTATTATACAATGTATTAATAATCATATGAAAGTAGGTCTATCAGTAGATACAGTTTATATTAGAGTACTGGACTAACCTTTACTGATATAAGTACATGTATGTACAGTCTGAGTCTCTTGTAATATCTCAGTCTCTTCTTTCTGTTCTACTGGTACTATACAATACAATTTATTAATAATTATTAATAATAAGTATACCATTATGATCTTTAATTAATGACTTTAATCTTTTATTCTCCAGTATCAATGCTTTCCTTTGTTCTAATTATAAGAAGAGGTCATTAGCTAGTAATTAATAATGTGTGTGGGTGTGTACATACTTTGAAATGTTTCACTTTCATTTTTAATCTTTTGTATTTCACTCTGTAATTCTATATAATAAATATATAAGAGGAGTATTCAAACATGACTAAAAATATAACATGCACAATGTACATACACATGACACACAAAACTGAAGTACATGTACAGTATCAAATTATCAATCAATACTTTATAATCATTAATCAATAATAATATGCTAATATAATATTAAGGTTAATATAATAATATGCATGGTAGAAGTACATGTACATGTGTCTGTCACACACACACACACACACACTCATACCTGACTGGGTTAATAGTGTAGTCACACTGACCTGATACTTCCTTGTGATCTTTGACTTGCTGTAGTTCTAATTTTTGTTGAAGATCTTTAATCTTTATTTGTAGTTCCTCTTTCTCTCTTAGAGCAGCTTGTTTCTGTTTCATTAAAGTGGAGGATGTTTGTATCTTTTCCTTTAACTTCTTTTGTTGTTCCTCCAGTTGTTTATGAGTAAGCTCATTATCTATAATATACTTTGCAGTATCAATCAATAATTAATAGCACTAACCTGATCTTAATTCTTCATATTGTTCTGTCTTGTGTTTCAAGTCTCCAGTAACTTTCTCCAGTTGTTCAGTAAGTGATGCTATTCTCTCTTCATATTCCTTTACAGCTTGTACATGATATTCTTTCTCTTTTTCATGGAGTTCCTTTTCTTCCTCCAGTTGCTTTTGAATACTTTCAACTTTCTCCTGTAGCAACATAACTTGATCCTCATCCTTTTCTGTTGTTCCTATACTCAATAGTTACATTATGTATCATATTAATAATATTGATGTACCTGCTGGTACTTCAGTTGTTAGTGTGGTATCTTTACTTTGTACAGTAGGGCCCACATAAGTATCAGTCAATGATTCTTGTATACTATCGTCCCACATACTACCGTCACTAACATCACC